GATGCTCAATATCATTGCTTATTAGGGTTATGAAAATTAAAACCACAATAAATACCAGAAACAAATACTGGAATGGATAAAATCTGGATGACTGACCATACCAAAAACTGATGAGGATGTGGAGGAATAAAACTCTCGTACACTACTGGTAGGAGTGTAAAATGGTACAAGCACCTTGGGAGACAGTTTGACAGGGTTATTTTTTGGTCATAAACTCAGTTATTCTTTTTTTTTTTTTAAAGATTTTATTTATTTATTTGATAGAGAGAGCGAGAGAGCACAAGCAGGGGGAACAGTAGAGGGAGAGGGAGAAGCAGGTTCCCCGCCAAGCAGGGAGCCCGATGCGGGGCTTGATCCCAGGACCCTGGGATCACAACCTGAGCCGAAGGCAGACGCTTAACCATCTGAGCCACCCAGGCGCCCCACTCAGTTATTCTTTATACAACAATTACTCAATGAAAGCATACTATATGCTACATACTCTGCTGGACACTGGGATATTGACAGTTTCTTAAAATATTAAACATATACTTATTATATGATCCAGTCATTCCATCCCTAGAAGTCTACCCACAAGAAAACGAAACATATGTCCATTCAAAGGCTTGTATGCTAAGGGAAAAAAAACCTGTCATTTATTAAACAACCATTTATTACCAAGCAGGCTCAACACATCTTTTTTTTTTTTTTAAAGATTTTTATTTATTTATTTGACAGAGAGAGAGATAGCGAGAGCAGGAACACAAGCAGCGGGTGTGGGAGAGGGAGAAGCAGGCTTCCTGCCCAGCAGGGAGCCCGATGTGGGACTCGATCCCAGGACCCTGGGATCATGACCTGAGCCGAAGGCAGACGCTTAACGACTGAGCCACCCAGGCGCCCCAGGCTCAACACATCTTAATCATAATCTCCATCAACAGATAAGTAGATAAACAAAAGGTGGTATATCAATACAATGAAATATTACACCATAAAAAAGGAATGAAGTACTGATACCTGCTATAACGTGTCAACCTTGAAAACATTATGTTGAGTGAAGGAAGCCAGACACAAAAGGTCACGTATTGTATGGTTCATTTATATAAAATATCCAGAATATACAAATCTATAGAGACAGAAAATAGATTAGTAGTTGCCAGGGGCTGGGGGGAGGGAAAAATGGAGAGTGAGTATTAACTGGTATGGGGTTTCTTTTATTTTTTTATTAACATATAATGTATTGGGGTGTCTGGGTGGCTCGGTCATTAAGCAGCTGCCTTTGGCTCAGGTCATGATCCCAGGGTCCTGGGATCGAGCCCCGCATTGGGCTCCCTGCTCCGCGGGAAGCCTGCTTCTCCCTCTCCCAGTCCCGCTGCTTGTGTTCCTGCTCTCGCTGTCTCTCTCTGTCAAATAAAACAACAACAACAATAAAAAAATATAATGTATTATTTTTTTCTGGGGTACAGGTCTGTGATTCATCAGTCTTATATAATACCCAGTGCTCATTACAACACATATCCTCCCCAATGTCCATCCCCCAGTTACCCCATCCTCCACTCCCCCCACCCCCCTCACCCCCATACAGGGTTTCTTTTAGAGGTGATGAAATGTTCTGGAATGAGATAGTGGTGATGGTTGCACAACCTTGTGAATATACTGAAACCATTGAATTGTATACTTGAAAGGGGTGGATTCTATGGTATGTGGATTTTATCTTACAAAAAAACCCAGGAATGACCTATTGATACATGGAACTACATGGATGAATCTCCAAAAATTCTGCAGTCTATCAGACAGAAAAGAGTACATACTCAATGATGCATATATAGAAAGTTCTAGAAAATGCAAACTAAATTATAGTGACAGAAAGCAAATCAGTGGGTGCATGGGGATGGGGGTGGGGCAGGAAGAAGGGATTATAAAGGGGCAGAGGAAACTTCTGGGAGTGACGATATGCTCACCATCATGATTATGATGATGTTTTCATGGGTGTATACATGTTATTTTAGAAATAATACAACCCCTCTTCTGCCTTCCTGGGCCACCACCATCTCTTCCTGCATGCATGTCTCTTTGCGATATTTCTGACAGAGCATAAAAAGTCATCTCTTAGGCCCCAAATATGAAAAGTTATTTTGCTTTATTCATTTCTGTTGATATTCTGAATCTTCATATTAGTGCTTTCTGAAAACAACCTATAAATAGGATATGGCAAAGACAAAGGGGGTGTTGTATGTTTTTTTTTAAAGATTTATTTATTTATTTATTTGAGAGAGAGAGAATGAGAGAGATAGCACAAGAGGGCAGAGGGTCAGAGGGAGAAGCAGACTCCCTGCCGAGCAGGGAGCCTGATGTGGGACTCAGTCCCAGGACTCCAGGATCATGACCCGAGCCGAAGGCAGTCGCTTAACCAACTGAGCCACCCAGGCGCCCGGGGGTGTTGTATCTTTAACTTTCATATTCTTCAAGCAGTTTTTAAAAGAGAATAGGCTTGGGGTGCCTGGGTGGCTCAGTTGCTTCAGCGTCTGCCTTCAGCTCAGGGTCATGATCCCAGGGTCCTGGGATCGAGCCCCGTATGGAGTCCCTGCTCAGTGGAGAGCCCGCTTCTCCCTCTCCCTCTGCCCCTCCCCCCAGCTTGTGCGCACGCGCTCTCTCTCTCTCAAATAAAATCTTTTTTTTAAACATTTGATTTTTATTTATTTGACGGAGAGAGAGAAACAGCGAGAAAGGGAACACAAGCAGGGGTAGTGGGAGAGGGAGAAGCAGACTTCCCGCTGAGCAGGGAGCCCGATGCGGGGCTCGATTCCAAGACCCTGGGATCATGACCTGAGCCGAAGGCAGATGCTTAATGACTGAGCCACCGAGGCGCCCCTCAAATAAATAAAATCTTAAAAAAAAAAATACTGCCTTCTGTCCACCCCAGATCCCTTTGACCCTGCTGTTCTTTCTTTTTCCACCATGACTCTTTTCCCCTTCTAACATACTAAATCATTTACCTCTTATACTTACTGCTTATTGTCTCTCAGCCCCTCTGGAACATCAGCTCCACAAGGGCAATGATCTTCATCTGTTTTGTTCATGGCTGTATCCCCAGTATTTAGAATCATGTCTGGCATGTAGTAGGGACTCGTTTGTGAATGATTTACTCTCTTCTGTATCCCTAGCATGCGGAATGGTACCTGGAATACAGCGAAGGCTCAAGAGACGCCTGTTGAATGGATTGGGGCAATAGTGGCACTTGGTGAGGACCCACTTGCACGAGGACCCTCGTGCAGTTTTCCAAGGACCCTTTTTGGGTCCTTTATCATTCTGCATGGTGCCAGAACATGGAGGTTAAGAGGCCCCAACCTGGGAGCGGAGGGGAGGAGCCCCTGGCTGAGGAAGGAATATCAGAGGAGAATCTAACTGCATGTTATCTGCCACCAAGCTCAGCCCCAGGCAACAGTCCTAAAGGCCCAAATAATTGGCTCCCCTCTGAAAGGCAAAGAAGCTGCTTCTTGAGTCTGCTGCCACGAATTCACGACTGAGTCTGGACAGTGTCTAACAGAGGCAGCAGCCTGCCAGGGAGACTTCTGGAGACTTAGCAGGGGAGGCAGATGCTTTCTCACCCACATTTTGTTCATTCCCCGTGACATGGAGGAAGCCAGCCTGAACAAATTGTATGTGTCACGGTCCCCGGCTTGCGGGTGGCGGGAAGAGAATTCACAGGCTCACAGCTGTTGCTGCAGCAACTGTGGCCAAAGGGGCAACCTTGGCAGCCAGCAAGCACCAGGCAGAGAGCCGAGAGAGAATTCTCCTTGTGCGCAATGAACGAGGGACAGATTGGGAAAGCCTCCTGATACTGTCCACACTTCCCTGGGACCTAGGGAGCCTGTCCTGGAACTGAGGGATCAGGAGGGATCCACTCAGGGGAAGCACAAAAAGCCATGATGGTCTGTTGGGGGACCAGGTGCTCTGCTAGGGCTATGCATTCTGGACACGGGGGTGTATTCAAGAACTTCAGGCCCTGTTTCTGAAGACAGGCTTGGGAGAAGACAGTCAACTCCAGGAAACTGAAATCTGATGAAAGATCTATCTTAAGCATCATGGCGCAGGGAGGAGGATTGTCTGAAACTGCCAGGTTATGCCACATTTCAGGGCAGAGACAGGGGACCGGTGCCATCCTGCAGGAAGCTTTAAGCTCTTCTCGAGGGTGTCACCAAGATGAATTTACTACGATTTGGAGAAAGGAGGAGGCCTTCTTGACTGAATGTAGCACATACAACATGGGAACTAGACTACTGGACATGCTAGATTGGGAACCTTGAGAAGGCATGACATTCCTTCCCCACAACATGAAAAATATAACCCAGCCCGGGAGTCCGGGGGCAGTGTGGACAATCACCATTACGACTCAGGAACTGGAGCAACTGGGGGATGGGAGTTTGTCCTCTGCTGTCTGCCTTAACCACCCTGCTAGGCCAATCTTAAAAACAGATGAGTTCTGGAATTAGGGATGACAAACCAGGAAATCCATAAAATTGGTCTTTGCAAGTGTACTTCACAATGGGGTATGAGACTGGAAGGTTTTCTGATCATCCCTTACCTTACTTGGCATATGGCCACTGAATTGGCCAACTCACTGTTTTTCTGTATCGGCTCAATTTTGGCTCAAAACAGCAGTCTGCCTCTGCTTGGCAGGGACAGCAGCTTAGCTTTATTATTCTGCTCTAGGGGATGTTTGCCAAAGAGAAGGGGGATGGGCAAAATAGGTGAAGGGGATTAAGAGGTACAAACTCCCAGTTATCAAATAAATAAATGAATAAATAAATAAGAAAGTCAGTCAGTCAGTCAGTCAGGGAGATGAAAGGTACACCACAGAGAAGAGAGTCAATAATGTTGTAATAACATTGTCTGGTGAGTACGCTTTGCCTGGTGGGCATGGAGTCACGTACAGAATTGTCAAATCACTATACTGTACACCTGAAACTAAGATAACATTGTATGTCAATTATACTTCAACAATTAAAAACATTTTTTAAAGATTTAATCAGAAAAAAAAGAGCTGTAAGAATTTTAATGCGATAATTCAGTTATTTAAAAAAACAATTCTCCAGTGCTGTGCCATGTTCTGACATGTCATGAGTTTATACCGGGGGTATAGACCTAGCTCATACACCATTTATTACATCAACAACTCAGTGATTGGGGATAATTTAGAAGCAATTGTGCCTAAAGCTCTGGCTTCCCTTGCTGCTTTTCTATCTCACCCCGTTAAATAGGAAAAAGTTTAAGAACTGTCTGACAATCACCTTTCTGTGAGTCCAGTTACCTGGAGGAATCAGAGAAATTCTACCCGGGACACACAAAACTTTTTTACCGTCAAGCCAAAGTTTGGGGCCTAAAATGGGGGCCCCGAAATTAACTGGCCGCTCTGGGAGGTAGCACAAACATATCCTATTTGTGGGTAGAAGCCTCCCTTTCCTCTGGACTCTCGTTACCGGCACAAGATATCTGATCTGGGCCAAGAGTAAAAGCAGAGCCACTGCTGGGATTCTCACTCAGAAAGCTGTGCAGAGATGTGGCATTCCAGGCTCCATAGTATCTGCTCAAGGGACATACTTCATAGCTTTGGTGTTCCAAGAATGAGCTTGTGAGCAGGTGGATCCTTTGACTTGTCTGTCAGCCCCTACAGGGCCATGGGGCTGAAGCCCGGAATGGCTCCCACCTCAGTCAGCCCAGCTCCCACTTCCACTCAGCTCAGCACACATTTATGATCTCATCATTCTACTAAGTTTGGGAAATGATTTTTATTACACACTAAGTTCTGGAAAATACTCAGTTTGTTTCGAGCCTCCCTTCTGGTCCGTCTATCTCGTGCCCTGTCCCTGCCCTTGTCCTGGAGCTACAGTGCAAGCAGATGGCGGAAGGGTGACCTCCCCACCTCTGCGAAGACAGGCTTTTCACACTGTACAGAGCCAGCAGCAGGCCGGGGATGGTGGGGTGGTGGGAGTGGGGTCGCGGGTCAGTCTTCATCAGAGTCCCTGGGGCCCACGTACTGGCAGACAGCATCATAGTGAAGCTCCACCAGCTGATTCTCTCTCCGCAGCTGCACCAGAGCCCGGCTCCGTTCCCTGTCCCGGCCCAGCAGGCGGCCCACCTGGAGTAGTGGCAGGTAGAGTCAGCAAGGCCAACCCAGATGCCAGGACAGCCCCCCCATGGCCCCTGCCCCACCCATGCCCAGGTCTGGGACTCACCCTTCCAGCCTGTGGCCCCAGCACCACCATCACCCGGTTGCCCTCGACCTTGGGGACCAGGGTCTCCAGCATGCCTTCCTTTACACCTGCAGATGAGGAAAGCGGAGTGAGTGAGGCCCGGGGCCAGGGCCAGCCCACCCAGGGTCCTGTCAGAAGGCCTTTCCTGTATTGCCCAGAGCCACCCTGCACCCTATTTCACAGGCAAGGACACCTAAGGAGCAGTTCCTAGAAATAACGATAAGAAAGGGAGCACTTATGTACGAAGATGGTGAGTGATGGCAACTGATCCCATTTACTATGGGCGTGTCACCTGCCTGCCCTGCACGGGGAGTTCCATACACAGCCGTACGAGGCCCGGTCCTCAGAGGGAGAAAGAGCTCATTTTCATGCCAGTACTCACTCATGGGGAAAGAGGGGCTCAGATAATCACCATCAGAAGCGCCTCAGGTTCTGTTAGAAGATTCTGGGCCTTACAAAATACCTGAACTCTGCCCAACCTCCCAGCCTTTGCCCACGCCAGCCTCTTGGTCGAAGACAGCCTTCCCATTTGGGCTCCGGGATGGTAACGACCCAGTGGTCATCCCTCACACTCACCTTCCAGGATCCGGCCTTCGTCTGTCCTACACACACAGGTATCTGGGCTGAGGACATCTTCAATCGTCATCTGGGTAGAGGGCCAGGGGGTGTGAGAACGTTAGAGTTACGGGGGCTGAGTCCCTGGGGGCAGAGGGGGCACCAGGTTGCAGGGTTCCCACCTTGGTGTTGTAATACTGGCCGCCCTTGTGCTGTCTGTCCACAAAGCGCACGCGCAGGTCCCTGTGCAACCAGTGCTGGCTCCGGGGGCCGGCCTTCTCATTCTTGGCTGCAGGCTCCTCCTGTCTGTGGAAAGGGGCCAATGCAAGGTTTAGCTGCTCAGACGCACGTTCCAGTCACCCCACCTTTGCGGCTGTGACACGCACCCATAATGCCATCCCTAGTTCCTTCCATGTGCCTGCCTGGCCCCAGAAGCCTTCTCTGACTGCTAGAACGCTTCCACAGCCTTGCCTTCTCCCCTTATCCCAGATGCCCAGGGTCCCACCGGTAGGGAAGGTGTTTCCGCTTCCTCTCTGAGTCCTCCCGCCGGCCGGGAAGGTCCTGATCCCGGAGGGCCTTCCATGATGAGGCTGTTCCGTTCTGTTGCCCTGGGGAAGTTTTGTTCATCTGGCCTGTGCAAGAGTGTGTGGAGGAGAACCAGGAAGGAGCCTCAGTGTGCCATTCTCTGACCCGGCAGGCTACACCTCGGCCTCGGGCTACCTCCCACCTGCCTCAGTGTCCCCTCCCACCATCACAACTTTGCTGGTGCCATTAGAATGCTCTCCCCTTCCCCTCAACTGCTGGGGCTTCCTTCAGGATGCCTTCCTTAGCTACTCCAGCATGTGCTGATGGTACTGATCTGCGGCAACCACCTAGTGTGGGCTAGGGAAATCTGAGAGCTCTGTCAGCAGCAATCTCCCATCTGCCAAACTGCCCCCATCCTCCTGCCATGCCTGGATTGCCTTCCTCCTTGGTCAGGGCCTAGTCCCAAGTGCCCTCATGCCCTAGAAGAAGAGAGGCTCATCACCTTGAACAGACATACCTCCTGAGGATAGGCATAGATTTCTATACCTGTTTTTTCTCTCTCAGAAAGAGGCTAAAGCCCCAGGGTAACTAGATCAATTTTTCTTCAGACTGAATAAACCATTTCTTTGTTCTCACCTCCTGACCTCTGACCAGATGGCACACCTGCCAGGCAGACCGCGGCCCCTCCTCTCTGCGGATCTGACACCCGCACCCCCCCAGCCCCCCCCCCCCCGACAGAGGCTCCACCCCCCCCCCCCCCCCGGAATGCTTCTCCAACTCTCCCAGCAAGGTAAGAGGCTCACTCACTGAGATCCAAGCAGTTCTTGTCAAACTCCTGCTGGGAGACAGGCCGTAGGCAGAACTCACTAACAGTCACCATGCGGTTCCCCACGGCCAGGCGAACCACGGCCCGAGCATTGTCAGGATCGAGGCCTTCTACCTGAAGTGTTGGAGGAAGAAGTTGGGCAGTGGTTGAGAGGACTAAACCCACATTCCTAGAACCAAGCTATCCACTCTTACCTCCAATAGGCCTGACCCCTGTGTCTCCCCCACCAGACTGGCCCAAGGTCTGGGCCTGGGTCTATGGAAAGCAGACTGTGTGCCTTGGATATATTTTAAAGAATTTAAAGAATTTAAGTCTCAGGAACATGTGGCATATGGCATTCTCTCTCTCTCAGTTGGAAACTGAGGCCCAGAAAGGCCCAGCAAGTGGTTCTGAGTTACCGAGTGAGGCAGCAAGCCAGGCAGGCCTGAAAGACAAGGACTCCCATCCAGCCTTTCCATCAATTCCTCCTCCCTCTGACCCCTCACATAAATCTTCTCTGCGGCCTGTCTTGGGCTCTAGGCCTAGCCTGGTTCCTTACCTTCCCGTAGAGGCCTCGGTGAGGGCCGGAAAGAACCACCACAGCCCCTCCAGGCACCAGTCCTCGAGGCTGGTCTTCCTTATCCTTCTCTTGCTCCTCATCTGGCTTTGGTTGGTGGTGGGGGCCAGTGGAGACCAGGGCCTGGACCTCATTCAGGTTGGCGCCCAGCCCTAACCCCTTCGGCCTCAGTGAGTTGACACGGGGCTTCACCACTCTGCAGGGAGCACAGTACAGGAGCTTGTTGGGCTGGGGATACGGGGCGGAGGTTGTGTGCAAGTCTTCAGTGTCCCCACTACCATCACCCAAATCCCACCCTGTCAACATGTTCAAGAATATCCTTCCCGGTCTCACATTAGGACTGTTTTTGATCTATAGAAATAGCAATTTCATTTGGTCCAACCTAATAACACACTGGGTATACCATCTATCACATATTATCTACAGTGGCATCTGAGGCAGATCCCTATAATCAAATACCCTAATATTTCTACAGGGGAAATCGTACAAATATTCACACCAAACAGGAGAAATCAACTATAATATGCTCTCCATCAATTCAGGTCATGTTTGGCTACTAAGTGGTTTATGAAAAAAAATGGTTTTCAGAATTCTTTGGAGTTGAAAACGGAGAAGGGATCCTAAGTCTGGATGATAACAGCAAATGTCTCATCTATGTTTATTTGGGGCCGGGGCCTGCTGTAAGTGCTTTATGTGCATAATTTCATGTAATTCTGCAACAGACCTGGGAAATCAGTATTGTTACTATCCCCATTTTGCAGATGAGGAAGGTGATGCTCAGAAAGGTAACCTACACATAAATGGAACCCGTTACAGAGTTTCAAAGGGCAAACAGGAAACTGAAACAGTAGCGGAAAGGCTTACTGAATTACTTAGGAAACTGAAACAGTAGCAGAAAGGCTTACTGAATTACTGACATGCCTTCTCCCTGCCTGGATGGTTCTGGACGGGCGGTAACTCATGGGGGTCTTGTTCACTGCCCTGCCTGCTGCCCCCTGCCCCTACCCTAGAACTCACTGATTGAAGGTGCGGCCAATGCCCTCGCCAGGTTTCCAGCCCATGCCTCGTAACATGGCCAGCCCATAGGCCTCTACGGGGACTGCCTCATAATCAGCTTCCTCCGGCACCTACAGGTTCAGCAGAGAAAGGATGGTCAGGCTGGGCCCATGGTGGGCCCTCAGAAGCACGTTTACTAACACCCAGCGGATGACCCTCAGGGCTTCTTCTCCAGTAAGCTCAAGGTTAGTTTTGATTTCCTCTTGCTGTCCCTCACTTTAGTCCTCCACATTGTCCTTCAACAAATAATTATAAAGCACCTATTCTGTGCCAGGTACTGACCTAGCTGATGAGGGTAAAGCAGTGACCAAAACAGACAAAACCCCCCGATCCTGCCCTGTGGGGCTGACATTCTAGTTACAGAGACACAGAATAAAAAAAATACATAAAACAGGTTATGTCAGGTAGTGGTAAGTTATATGAAGAAAAATAAAGCAGATTGAGGGGATGCAGAGGGATGGAGAAGGGAATATCACTGAGTTGATATCTGAGCAGAGACCAGAAGGAAATGACAGAGGGAGCCATAAGGATGTGAGAAGGACGGGTAGTCCACGCAGGGAGAACAGTAAGAGCAAAGGCCCTGTGGGAAGAGCATCGTGAAAGCCAACCTGACTGAAAAAGAGATGTGGAGGCAGAGAGGGGCGGTGAGAGATTAATCAGGAGGTCTGGGCTGGAGCCGCAGGAGGGTGGCCACCAAAAGGGGGCCCATGAGGAAGTTACTGCAACAGTCCAGAAGAGAGATGCTGGTGGCTCAGACCAGAGTGGTAGGTAGGTGCTGGTGCAAAGTGGTCAGATTCTGGATGTATTCTGCAAAGGGAGATGACAGGCTTTTGCTGAAAGCCTGCATAAGGGGTATGAAACAAAGAGGGGAGTCAAGAGTGACTCTAAGGTTTTTAGGCTGAGTGAGAGGAAGGATGGATGGAACTGTGATCCACTGAGATGCTGAAGGCTGGGGAAGGAGAGGAAATGAGAGAAATGAGGCCAAAGTGGGAACAGGATGGAAAGTGAAGGGAAGGTCTTTTTTTAAGATGAAAGAAACCAGAAGACAGCTGAAGGCCAACGAGAACAGTTCAGTCGAAAGAGAAGATGGTCTTGGGGCGGTAGGAGAACTAGGCCCCAAAGAAGCACTGCTAAAAAAAAAATTGTGAATAAAGCGGTGAAAAGTGGGGTCCATGGATATGAAAGACAGACTTGGTTGCTTCTGTAGACACACCCCTCCCTTCCCCTGTTATCTATCACTTCCCATCCTCACTCCCTTGATTCTTTTTTATCCCCCCCTCAATTCTTTATACTCACTCTAGACACACTGTAGGTTGCTTCACTGATGGACCCACACCACACTGACTCCCTGCCACCGTGCCACTGCTCAGGTTGTTGCTGCCATTAGTACTCACCCTGATCTTCCCTCCCTCACTAAACCCGACCTGTCCTTCCAGGCCTCACTCCTACCACTCTGGTCTGAGTGGCCATCATTTCTAGCCATGCTACTGGTCTCCTTGCTTCCGCCTTTGCTGACTACTCTGTTCTGCTCACAGTAGCCAGAGAGATCCTGTCAAATCTTAAGGCTTGACCCCTCTCTGCTCAGAACCCTCTCATGGCTCTCATCTGGTCCACAAGGCCCTGCTTAGTTTAGCCCCTGCCACTTCTGACTTCGTCTCCTCCTCTTCACTCATTCCACTCTAGTTACACTGGTCTCCTTGGTGTTCCTCAAACACTCCAGGCTGAGTCTACCCTCAGGATCTTTGCATTTCCTGTTCCCTTAGCTCCTCATCTTACTCAGATAATCCCAGAATGCAAGTGTTTTCCACACCTCAGTAGCTGGATTCATTTGTTAATGCTTCCAAAAAAGGACAGAGGGAGAAAGGGATAGGCAGCAGGCCTCTAGGACACACACAGACTTTCCCTGCTGTGTGCAGAGAGGCAAGCCTGGCAGACAGGGCAAAGAGAGGCTGGGGTAGGAGGAGTTAGCGGCCAGCTCACTGTCTCAGCCCGGGGTTCGCTGTCTGCCCCTTCCCCGTTAGGGATGCAGCCTTTCTGGATCATGGGGATAGCAAGCGTGGGGTCGACACCCGAATTCTCTCTCTCCTCCAGGGACTTCTTGGAGTCTAAGGAAGAATGGGAGGGAGCAATGAGGTCCCACCCTATCCTTCCATTTTCCTCCCCCTCTTCCTTCACTGGGGCAAGGCGAAGAGGGGATCACTCACCCTCAATGAGCTCCTTCACAGCCTGGGACAGCACCCCATCCACCAAGGCCTCAGTATTTGTGGATGGCCCAGGGGCCTGGGTCGGTGGCTGCCTGCGATGGCCATTCTTGATCAAAGGGATGATGAGTTCCTTGGGGGTTTCTGAGGGCTTCACACTGATGTGGACACAGCGGCATGAAGTTGGGAGAGTAGCATGGTCAGTAGGTTCTGAGCCACACTCCTCCCTTCAGAGAAAACAAAAGGGCCAAACTCACCCCCCCACCCCAGATGGACCACACCCTCTACTCTCCTGTCCGGTCTCTAATGGTGCTTTGTTTGTTTTTAAAAGATTTTATTTATTTACTTAATTGACAGAGAGAGAGACAGTGAGAGAGGGAACACAAGTAGGAGGAGCGGGAGAGGGAGAAGCAGGCTTCCCGCTGAGCAGGGAGCCCGATGCGGGGCTCGGTCCCAGGACCCCGGAACCATGACCTGAGCCGAAGGCAGACGCTCAACGACTGAGCCACCCAGGCGCCCCTAATGGTGCTTTCTTTGGATTCTCTCCCTCACCCCCAACTCTTAAATGTCAATGCCTTTGAGGAATCAGCCTTCATTCCTGGACCCTCTGCTCATCCCAAGACCCACCTCCATGGCCTTCACAATGACTCACAAATCACCATCTTCAGCCCAGACTCTCCCCAGATCCAGGGTTCACATCAATCTCCTGGATGGTTGATTTTCTTCTGGAAGCCTCTCCCTCTGACTCTCCTTTCTGAATTAAGCTGATGATGGTCTCCCCCAACCCGAATCTGCCACTCCGCCCCGTTCCCCATACCAGTGACGCTCCACCGCTTCAGCTGAGACACTAGGGGTCCTGTCATTCTTCACTCCTTTCCTTCTCTCAGAACGCACACACCTCAGGGTCCTCAAGTCCTAAAGACACACCCTCTCAGGCATACATCCTTTTCTCTCAAACGCCACGGCTGTCAGGCCCAATTTCCCCACCTCTCCTGTTCCACACTCCCGCCTTCTAGCCTCCACGAGTTCTCCCAGGCTGTGCTTCAGGCGTTCCAGACCACTGCCACCAAGACAATCGACTCAGAATCCACCCTCCCGCTTGCACCCACCGAACCGAAATTCCAAGGGATGAAAGACCCGGCGCTTCACCTTTGCAGCTCCCTCCCTTCCACGGTCTTTAAGAAATCCTTCTCCTCTGGAGCCGCACCCGCGTCGTCCGCGAGCCGTCTCCGGGCAGATGTGCGACTGAAGCTGAATGAAATTGGGGCAGCGGAGGCTCCTCCGGGCCGCAAAGCTGCCTCTTCAGCATCCGCCATCTTGCCCCTCTTTCCCAGGCGAGTGCGCTGCTTGCTGGGAAGTTTAGTTTGGGCTCAGTTTGAGCAGGGCCAGATAACGAGCGCTAGAACTACCATTCCCATAGAACACTGCGGCATCGGCGGGCGAAGGTGAAAAAAGGGGCCTTAGGAAGTAATTGTCGCTCTTTTCACTTCATAGGAGTGCGTTGCGCCAAGCATAAAGGGAAATGTAGTTCTTGGGTGAGGTAGGTATGGCAGAGGTGGATTCGTTCTTGCCAGGTATTCCTTCCTTCCTATAGGAGGTCAACAAGTATTTATTAATTACCTACTGTGTGCACGTTACTGTGCCCTACTGGTATGGGAAATGTAGATAAAATACATCATTAAGAAAAAAATCTGTGAGTGCCAGTTGTGTACAATAGCAAATAGACATTTAAATGGTGCCTACCGATCGATGCCAGATTTAATACACAACAAGCTCTGGATTCAAATATTATTAAAATAGACATCCTCCTTTCTAGAGGCTGATAGTCCAGTGGGGAACAATAACACTTAAACAGATATTACATATATATATATATATATATATATATATATATATACACAGTTGACCCTTGAACAATGCAGGGGTTGGGGGGCCAATCCCCTGCCCCCATAGTTGAAAATTTGCGTGTAACTTTTGACTTCCCCAAAACTTAACTACTAACACCCTACCGTTGACCTGAAACCTTAATGATAACATAAAGAGTAGATTAACACATATTTTGTTTTTACATGTAGTATTATTTTTGTTTTTTGGGGTTTTTTGTTGTTGTTTTGTTTTGGGTGGTTTTTTTTAGGATTTTTTTTATTTATTCATTTGAGACACAGAGATACAGAGAGAGAGAGAGAGAGAGAGAGCATGAGCAGGTGGAGAGGCAGAGGGAGAGGGAGAGGGAGAAGCAGGCTCCCCGCTGAGCCAGGAGCCTGATGCGGGGCTCGATTCCAGGACCCTGGGATCATGACCTGAGCCGAAGGCAGATGCCCAACCATCTGAGCCACCTAGGCGCCCCTGTTTTTTTGTTTTTTTTATTTTATTTATTTTTATTTTTTTTAAAGATTTTATTTATTTGACAGAGAGAGACACAGCGAGAGAGGGAACACAAGCAGGGGGAGTGGGAGAGGGAGAAGCAGGCCTCCCACGGAGCGGGGAGCCCGATGCGGGACTCGATCCCAGGACCCTGGGATCATGACCTGAGCCGAAGGCAGACGCTTAACGACTGAGCCACCCAGGCACCCCTGTTGTTTTGTTTTTAAGTGGGCTCCACGTAGGGTCTGAACTCACAACCCTGAGATCAAGACAAGAGCTGAGGGCGCCTGGGTGCTCAGTTCGTCGAGCGTCTGTCTTCAGCTCAGGCCATGATCCCAGGGTCCTGGGATCAAGTCCCACATTGGGCTCCCTGCTCAATGGGGAGTCTGCTTCTCCCTCTCCCTTGCCCCCCCAAACCTGTCATGTTCTCTTTCTCTCTCAAATAAAGAAAACTTTGAGGAAGAGAAAATACATTTATAGTACTATACTGTACTATAGTACATTATATTGGGAAAAAACCTGGTATAAATGGACCCATGCAGTTCAAACCCATGTTGTTCAAGTGTAAACTGTAGTTCCTACTGTTACCCAAAACTGGGTTCGCCTCTTGATGGATATGGAGCCAAAAGACACATCCAAGCAAAGAATAGGAAAAGATAGGGTTTTACTTGCCACAAGTGAAAGAGAATACTAGAGATATTTCCCAAAGCAGTGTCTCCTTCAACAACAGAAAGTGGGCGAGTTTTAAACTAAAGGTGCATATATATTCATGGAAGGGCTTGCAAAATAGGGAATTCAGCATGGAATTGGGGCAAAAGTCATCTTAAGGGGACTGAACCCAGGTCTTAAGTTAATTGAAGACACGAGAGCTGGCAAGGGTCAGCATCATCAATTCTCTGGCTCCAGATGGTCCAGTATTTGAGTGCTCAAAGGGGCTTAAATCCTGCAAAGATGACTCAAGACGATGTGTCAATCTTTACTTTTGAAACAGCACTGGGAATTTTACCACAAAATTACCTGATTTATTGTCCCTGATATGCTTAGGCTATCTCCTGGCCTGATAATGTCTGTTTGTTCTCACATTCTTTTGTTTCCTTCAAATCATTATCTATTGAGGTCTATTCTGCAATTTCAACGCATCTCAGGAAGTTCTGCAAGAAATGTGCTTTGGGTAAGTAGTGCTGGTCAGGCATAGATTACAAGATGATCAGGGGCCTAAAGTGACTTTTCTCATGTCAAGAAAGCTATGCCTCGTCTTTCTTTTTCCAGGGATCCCTAACTATTTCTGCTTATACTACCAACATTAAATATGTTGTGAGAGCGAGGTTCTAAGGCTTTGAAAGATTAATGGGACAGATTCCTCTTGTGTAGGACCATAAAGAGATAGGGAAAATGAAGGGGCCCCATGAAGGGCTGCTTTTTTGCCCATTTTCCTGCTTCTATTCTTGCTAGGACCAGCACACCTGCCTTTCCTATTCCTTGTAATACAAATAATGTATGTTCTCTTTGTAAGGATCAAGGAGTTAATGATTTCTTTGGAGTCTTCCAGCACAATAGATAACTTCTTTTTATTTTTTAAAAGATTTTATTTATTTATTTGACAGAGAGAGACACAGCGAGAGAGGAAACACAAGCAGGGAGAGTGGGAGAGGGAGAGGCAGGCTTCCCGCTGAGCAGGGAGCCTGACGCGGGACTCTATCCCAGGACCCTGGGATCATGACCTGAGCCGAAGGCAGACGCTTAACGACTGAGCCACCCAGGTACCCCACAATAGATAACTTCTAAGAATTGTCTAGGTGAGACCATGATGTGTATATTCCAGACCACCAGAGCTAGACATCTGGATGCCAAGACTCCCTAACTCCAAGGAATTAGTGACTTATGGAGGACACCTGGACCCTTTTAGTTCTGACCAGTTTCTGGGTGCCTGAGAGGACGCTTACATCAGACCACAATCCTCAATAAAAGCCCCAGACCCAAACAAAAACAAGACACTTTCCTTTCCTTTCTGAGTCTCCCAGACACTCTGTATCTGCACTCTCACTATATCTTCAATAAATTCTGCTCTTACTTCCTCTTGGGTCACATTTGATTTCTATCCTGTGTGAAGCCAAGGACTCTCTTGGCTGGTCCTGCGGGACCCCCTCTGGGTCCTCAGACCCAGCCTGCCTCCATCATTAAGAGCTTGTAATTTAGAAGACTGATACTTAAATAGTCACCAGAAAGAATACTATATATCTGCCAACAATTCATCCCAAGGAAATCATTAAAGATGTGTGAAAAGATTTTTTTTAAGTTTATTTAAGAAGTATCTATACTCGGGGCGCCTGGCTGGCTCAGTTGGTGGAGCATGCGACTCTTGATCTCAGAGTGGTGAGTTCAAGCCCCAAGTTGGGTATAGAAATTACTTAAAAAAATAAAATCTTAAAAAAAATAAAATAAAATAAAATCTTTAGGGGTGCCTGAATGGTTCAGTTGGTTGAGCATCTGCCTCTTGATTTTGGCTTGGGCTGTGATCTCAGGGTTGTGAGATCGAGCTCTGCATGGGTTGCACGCTCAAGTGCGCAGACTGCTTGGGATTCTCTCTCTCCCTCTCCCTCAGCCCCTCCCCCAGCTTGTGCACTCTCTAAACATACAGATAAATAAAATCTTTTTAAAAAATAAAAAATAAAATCTTAAAAAAAAAAGAAATCTCTACACCCAACATAGGGCTCGAACTCATCACCCTCAGATGAGGAGTCATATGCTCCTCTGAGCCAGCCAGGTGCCCCACAAAAAGATTTTTTTTTAAATTTATTTATGGGGTGCCTGGGTGGCTCAGTCGGTTAAGTGTCTGCCTTCGGCTCAGGTCATGATCCCAGGTTCCTGGGATTGAGTCTGCTTCTCCCTCTGCCTGCCGCCCCCCTGCTTGTGCTCTCGCTCTCTCTCTGATAAATAAATAAAATTTAAAAAAAGATTTATTTATTTATTTTAGAGAGGCGGGGGAAGGGCAGAGGGAGAGGGAGAGAATCTCAAGCAGACTCCCCACCAATTGGGGAGTCCGACTTGGGGCTCAATCCCCCGAACCCCAGATCATTACCTGAACTGAAATCGACTCAGCCACTTAACCTACTGAGCCACCCAGGTGCCCCCACAAAGATTTTTATATGAGATTCATCATAGCATTATTTATTGTAGCAAAACATCGAAGGCCACTTAAATGAACAACAGAAGGGGACGGGATAAATGAATTATAGCACATTCCTTGGATGGAACACATATACTAGAAACTTTAAATGTGAAGCTATAAATATACTTAAATGAAAGTGGGACATAGTCAAAATGTTTGGAAAGTAGAATAATATGGTGGGTCAGAGGACGATCTTGAAAACAGGAAGCACAATAATCAAATTCGTGGCCATGTTTCCAGGCTTAGAGGCCCTGGGCATCCTTAAAGATACCCAGCAGATAAAGACTACAAAGCAGCTTTTATAAATGTCAATCTAAATAAAGAGGCAAACTGAGGCAAGCTCAAAAAGATGAGTTTATTTGGGAATATCAGAGAAATTGCCATTCTTACACCCAAACTGTAGCAAGCTACAGAGGAGTCCAAATTCCAATTCCTCTATCTCCAAATAAACTCATCATTGTGAGCCTGCCTCGGTTTACCTCTTTTTAAAAAGATTTTATTTATTTATTTGAGAGAGAGAGAGGGAGAACACAGAGGAAGAGTGAGAGGGAGAAGCCGACGCCCGCTGAGCAGTGAGCCCGATGCGGGGCTTGATCCCAGGACTCTGGGATCATGTCCCGAGCAGAAGACAGACCCTTAACTGACTGAGCCACCCAGGTGCCCCAAGTTTACCTCTTAATTTAGGTTAATATTCCTTGGAGTCAGAAGTGGGATCCAAAGGAGATGACCCCCGAAGAATGATGATCCAGGGCATCAAGTGACGTACCCACACGGAGCCTCCTGCACTAATCATTTCTGTGAGTCACGGTCTACTTCCCGGTTTGGTGAGTCTCTTTTAGGATTCTGAACCCCCTCCCTTCGGTTCAGCTTTCCGACTTCATTCAGGATCTGTTTAAGACTTTTTTTTTTTTTTGGTCGTACTCCTCTTAGTGAGTACTAGTTTGTTTGGTGAGTACTCCTTTGTTTTATTATTGGGAGCACATCAGAATTTTGGTATAATTCCTTTGGAATTCTTGCGAGTGTTAAAAAGAAAGCCATAGGCCCAAGGTGGCGTCATTTGTCCTCAGGACAGTCAACCAAGAATTAATTGCAAAGCCCTCTTCTTAACTAATTCTAGTCCCGGCTATTTGAATACACCTCCAGACCATCCTATAGTCCTCTAAGAACGCGAAGATCCCTCTCCTTATACTACAGCCTTAGGCCCCCACTGCGGGGGGGCGGTGCAAATCCGCGATTGGGTTCCGGAACTCTTCAGGCTCCGCCCTCTAACTGGCCTATAAACTTCAACCCGTTCCTGACATTTCGATCCCTCCCCCTGGCGTTTGTAGGCTCCACCCCCTAGAGTGGATTTTTTTTTTCCAGACCCGCCCCTCAGCCAACTGCACGCCCCCAACACTCTCCAGGCCCCACCTCCTCAGAAATGCCTTGCGAAGCCCCAGCGCCAGGGATAACCATCCAGCCCTGCACCCACAACTAGCCATGGAACATTCACCCACCGCAGTAACTTTCCCAGGGTCACCTCCTGGAGGAATAGTCTAGGATAACGCCAAGGCTCCGCCCCTCGAAGCTCCCTCCAAGCCCCGCCCCGCCGCCAGTCGCACCCATTAGCCCCACCCAGGGGAGTAACTAACAATCCCGGGTCCTCCACTTCGGAATCCGGCTCCACTCAGACCGCGCCCCCCGGGAGGCCCCGCTCCGCCCCCGACACGCACCCGCGTTGGGGCGCAGGCGCAATGTGGCGCCCGTCCTGCGTACCAGCGCCGCCACGTCGGCTGCAGCTCGGGCCGCCAGGGGGCGCGCGTCCAGCCGCGCCAGGAGCTGCCGGGCTCTGGGGCCCGCCCGCTGGGGAAGGCCCCGGCCTGCGCGGGTGGAAAGAACAAGTCAGCACCCGCCCGAGCCTCGGCGAACCCCCACGCTCCCCGACGTCCGAAACCTACAATGCCCCTCAAGATCTTCGGCGCCCCCCCGACCACTCTCTCGATAGTTTCGGAGGTCTCCCACTGCCCCTCTCAACTCCCGCGACCCCCGACCATCGCGGGTATGCCCGTGGACCCCCGCCTGCGCCCACGATATCCCTGGAGAGAGCTATCTGACCGAAATATTCCTGGACACTTCCCAACACCCTGGAACTATCTCTGGAGGTCTCCGACTGCCCCTTCATAACCAGATTCCAAACTCTTTCCGCACAGTAGCGAGAGGGACCCCGATTCCCCCAGATGTCCCGACAGAGGACGGTCTGCCCCCGCTGTGGCGCCGGCAACCCCGATTCCCCTTCCAGATATCCTAGGCAACCTTGATGGCCCACGGAGCTACAGTTGCCCCTCCATTTGTACCCAGAGGCCCCCCCCGCCTAACCGCCACCCACCCCCCCCGCAATTCACTACAGACCCTGAGTGCCCACAGGTGTCCCCAGTGACCCCGGGCAGAGCCCTGTGGCACATCTCCCCGGAGACTCCTGAGAGCCTCCGGGTCTGGTGCGCAGCCCCACGGTGCGGGTGCGGGTGCGGGTGCGGGTGCGGATCGGGGACCTCGAGCCCAACGCCGGCCGCCCGGCGCCCGCCCGCCACTTGGGCGCCAGGGCTGCTTTGTTTACCACCTGTCGGAAGGAAAAGGTGAGGAGCAGACAGACGGGGCGAGGAGTGGCAGGGACGCGCCCAGTCCCCCCTCCCCCGTACCTCCTCTGCTCCCCCTAGGGTCCGTGGCGCCCCCCGCGCGCGGCTGCATGACCCGAAGTCCGCCCGGTGGACGCAAGACCGCCAGCGACGCGTTTGGAGCTCCTGGGCGCGCTCACCTGGCGACCCGCCCGGGCCTGGATGCGGCTGCGGCCGCCCGGTCCCGTGCCCGGAGCCCCGACCCGCGCGCTGACCTACCTGGCCGCCGGCAAGGAGGCCTGGCTGTGGGAGCCAGCGCGAGCGCTTGGCCTCGCTCTGCCTCAGGCGCCGCCTCTGTTAGCCCCGGAGCCTGGGCTGGGCTCCTTTTTCCACCCAGGAGGGGTTGTTAGTCCACGAGCGAGAAGGGGAAGTCGAGGCCCAGAGAAGTTAAGGGCCCCGCCCGAGCTCTGACAACTAAGAACGGGGGTGCAGAAGTGGAGCCCACGTTTACCAGGGAATTCTGCAGCCTGTAACGGAGCTTTGCTCATAGTAGGGCGGGCACTCAGTAAATTTGCAGAGACTGTTTTCTACTTGGGAAATGGAAGAGTCTGTCGGGCTGGGCGGCTGCGGGCGGGGTGGGGGGTGCTTGGAGCCTCGGGGGCCATGGGAAGGTTTGGGGCCCTGAGCAGGATAGGGCTGGGGGACTCCAAAAGCCGGGAAGGGCAGGTGCCCTGGAGAGTGGAGGGGCGGTAGGGGCCTGCACTTGAGGAGGCTTTCAAGGCCCCTGGGTGGGAGGGGTCGCCAGCCAATGAGAGGGGAGAAATGAGGCCCCTCTTAGGTACTAAAAGTGGGGGGTGGCCTGGAGACAGAGGTCCCGAGGGGGGAGCCCTTGGGCACAATGCTACTGTAGTGGAAGGAGGAATGGGGTGCGGTGAGAGACAGCCTGTGACCACCACTTTGTGGAGGAAGAAACTGGGGCCACAGGGGCTCGGACACCTACCTGTCCGGGACCCCACAGCCGGCCAACGACAGCAGGGGCCTCAGGCGGCTTACCCCCAACAATCACTGGGGCTGTGACTGTTTCACTATGGACACTGTGGACACTTTCACTGTGGACGCACCGTGTCCTGACGTCCATTCTGGGGGGCCGGGCAGCCTCTCTCGTCCACCTTTCAGGGGTCGGGTGTTGTTCTAAGTGAGGGGGAGGGAATGGTCCCTGCTTCCCTTCCTCCTGCAATCTCTTGGCCCTCCCGCCTCTGACCTGACCTTGTCTTGCGGGGGC